ACTATCCCTCACCCTTTAATGCACTTGCTTTTACACACACTTCAGCTCTCAGAGCTCCTTAAGCTCCAAAGTCTTCCAATTGATTGTTATACTAAGGTTTTCCCTGCCCAGCTCTGTACCTGCATTTCTCTGCAATATCATACTACTGATTTAAAAAAACAGAAATCATTATTTGAGTATCACAGTCAGGTTGTGGGATCAAGTTTAGGCCACCTCTTATGGTACTCAATGACATACAGGAGCTGCAGGGGAGCAATACCCACATGCCTCTTATCCTTCTTCCCCACTCCACCACTTGTGTAGCTAAATGTAGGTATCAACAGCTATCATTTCCTTTACAACTTCAAGGTAAGCTGTTAGATCAAAATGCTGTTGATGATTCAGATTTTTTCACTATTAAAATAACCCCATCACCCACAATATCAGTCTAGCAAATAAGGAAAGCCCTATTGCAAAATTAGCAGTCATACTTCCACTGGTTTTGGTTGCAGTTTGCTGAGGCTCTTTGGACTAATAATGTGGGATAATAAATTTGAAGAGGTTGCTAATCACTGGTACCATGTACTATAGCAGTAGGAGCCACAGGTGAATAATTCTTCAACTAATATATACTGTTAGTCTCATCATTGATGCAAAGAACACAGGCACTAGGTTTACTAATTGGTTTTACACTGTACATGACCCAGTCAGACCATCTGATGTCCCAAATTAACAACCATAACATTATATGAACAGAATATCTTTTTACTTGGAGGTCTAAAAAACCAAATCCTCTCCTTTTTGCACTTAAGCACCTGAAGTCTACTGAGGGCAAAAAAACCAGCCACCTCCATTCCCACAGACCCACAAGTTAGTCAAGCCTCTGTTAAGTTGTTGCTAATGTGGGCTGTGCTATAAAGAAGCAAGGAATTTTGTGAATTCCTACAAATAATATTCACTGGAGATGTTGATAAATCTACTGTCCACTCCTGCACACAGCACAACCTAAACCAGTAATTGGAGCAGTTGTCTGTAAAGGCTCATTACTCAGCTATGGTGGCTGCAGCAATAAGCAGCAAAGCATGATGGAGAACTTGAACAACCCATAGTGAAATTCTGTGTATAGTAGAGGTAGCAGAAAAACAACTACATACATAAAACAAGGCTTTTCTGTTTGCATCCCATTAGCGGCTCTGTCATTATCTCACTGCAAGATCTCATCTTTATGACTTTTTTCCATACACCTTCCAAGATCATTATACTGCCCTGTGTGCAGTCATATTCAGACAGCCGTAATACTTTTTAAGGTACTTTTCTTTGAAGAATAATCCGTAGATGACTTGCACAAACTCAGTGTCTGTGCCTTTGCTTCTATTCCAGCCAAGGAGCAGCTGATGGGAGAGCAAACGCAGTAGATAGGGAGCTCGTGGTAAACTTCTTATACCACCCTGCACAGCTATTGTTGTTGTTGTAAAAACCCTACAAAGTTGTAGGGTTTGGGTTTCCCTGGTTTACCTTTTTTTTTTTCCCTTAATTACATCTCGTTTGTAAAAAGCAAATGAATTTAGAGAGCCAGTATATATCCATTAATATACATGTGAAATTATAATATATCCTTTTGGCAGAGCCCACGTCTTACTGTGCACTCAGGCCTCATGTCTGGCAGTGCATGATCTCAGTGCAATCATGACTGGGATATACACTTGAAACAAACTGTGCTGCAAACATGAACATTTTCACTTTATTTTGCAATTCTGGTTAGAGGGTGAACCACAAAAACCCAGGCTTTTAGCATAAGACATCCGCTTCTGCAGATTGATCATTCCTATGTAGCTAAAGGGTGCTGGTCCAGGTAGAAAGGTTAGATAGAATGATGTGTGGGGGGGAAAAAAAATGCAGAGAAGAATTAAGTTAGAAAAATAGTGCTGAGATGGATCACTTACTTATTGCTTGTTCTGTGAACCTGGACCAGCCCAATACGTTTTTGTCTTATGAGTCTTACTACTATCCACCAAAGGAGTTTCTACAGCTTTGTAATAACCTGCACCAGTGCTCAGCTCTCTATATTGCTATCTATAAAAACCAAGTCTACATTTTACTTAGCCCAAGCTAACTCATTATTTCTCTCTGAAAGAAACAGAGAGTAGAACACCATAACCTTTTACTGATCAGATGATCAATATGCTTCTCAGTTCCCCTTTCTAGGTTAACAACCAAAACTCCTACAGTTTTTCTGCATAAATCATACTTTCTAAACATCTGTTAGATAAAAAAGATTTCCTGTATCTTATCACGGTATTCCTGTTAATACACTACAGAATGTCACATCCAGATTAGTTTGTGATCCACTCCAAACCTCTATCAAATGTACAATATGACTGTCAACTGCCACAGGAAATACATGCACGATAATCACTGAACAGCTCTGTAATTCAAAAGCTTGAGTTGTCTTTAAACCAATGGATACATTCTAGCCCTGTTTCTCTTAATTCCCATTACTCTAATACAGCTATGTTACGAAAGCATCTAAAAATATCTTTCAAAGAAAATTTTCATCACGTAAATGACCAAAACCTAGTTGCTTACTCAATAAGTTGGTATACATCTGGCAAAAATGAAAATGCATCATTTAATCTGAAAAAGTGTCTTGAATTTTTGTGTTGCTCAATCCTTCATTTTCTGCAAACTGTGTGAGGAATCACACAACGATGAACATTCATAAAAACACAAAGCACCAGGAAACTTCCCAGTTAAGGCATATGATTCAGAAGTGAAACAAAGACATGATGCTGCTGGACAGTTTTTGCCATACAGCTACTTCCATACTCTTCCCTTCATTAAAAATGTTAAAGAGCAATTCTGAAGAACCTAAAATGGTAACAATGGATCCAGAAGATCTCTTGAATTAAGTCGCAGTAGGATGAAGTAGGGAGGAAAAGTGTATTCTTCCTACTTCTGCCACCTTTTACCTTTCTTCTAACAAAAAAAAGCAAACCATCAGTTCAATTCTAATAGTGATTACAGATATGAATGTGTGAACTATCCACATAAAACATCTCAGGAGTAAGAGTAGTTGGATTAAGCTATATAAACTGCTTATTATCTGAATCCAAGCTATGCTTTTCTAATCAGTAATGTGTTTACTGTCCAAAGCAGCCTGAAATATTGTTAGATATATTATCATTCCAATAATGCTTTATATGCTGTCATTTTCTAATCGAAATACAAAGATCCTCTATTTTAAAAAGTGTAGGTATCTGGAAGGAAATTGGTACTTAGGACTTCATTCTATTCCTGTGAATCTGAAGCTCTGAAGGAAAGAAATACGAATTTACAAATATATTCTGCATTTTGCATTTATTGTTCCACATTTTCAAACAAGAAAGATTGTAGGGGTTTTAGAAGCTGTGTTCTTGTTCTATTTCTGGGCATTTAGGAATTGCTTTTTATACTAGGTGAACAGGGTTACAAAATGGGTTATCATTTCTATCTGTATTGTTGTTCTTATATTTTATTCCCCCTGAAAACAGGTGAATCTTCTTCTCAGCATGTCATGCATTTGCTCTTGGGAGAGTGGGTGGTTCTCACAAAAATAAAAAGTATTAAGCTCTATAAGAAACCAATTCAGCATAAAAAAAGAATCCAGCAAAATGTAATGCTGCACTCTGATGAAATAATCTCCTTTCTTCTCCTGACACTTCTGTGGCAATGTCTGTGCATTCTCTCTCAAGTTACAACAGTAGTATTTCCTAAACCCAGCAGAGCATTTCAGAAAGGAAGACAACTTTTAACCCTCCAGTATTCAGTCCATCAGATTATGAACTTTAATTTCTTGTATTCAATTATCAATGTTAAAAGAACTCAAAATTGGTAGCAACTAATTTTAATACCTCCACAGTTGTCATGACCTCAAAAAAAGGTTTAGCAACCTGAAAAAAAACGTACACACACAGGGATCCCATGGCACAGGAGGATGACTAGTTACGTATCCAAAAATCAAATACAATCAAAAGGAAGACACTCATCTTTGTACAAGATGGCATTTCATCTGCAAAAGACATCTGTCACTTAGAGGTGGCACAACACTCAGCATAATGGGAGAGCATCATTAAGTGCTGTAGAGCAGGTTTGAAGCTCTTATAGAGGGAGGTTAGAAAAGGACAGGGACTTCAAGGGGACTTGTCATTAACACCCATTTGCTGCACAGTCTGCAGAATTCAGGTTCCAAAAAGGTGTTCTAGAACAGTGCAAAAACCACGACCAGTGCTTCTAACGAAAATTGTCTTACGCTGTCTTCAGCTGGAGAGGTAACCAAAAACCTGCATGTTAAATACTAACATACAGCCATGTGCTTTCTCCATTAGTAATTCCTCATCTTACAGAAGCAATTGATGACTCCTTGAGAGAAACACACATTAAAGAAACTGTGGCAGACAGACCAATAATGGACAGATAAGCACTGGCCCTTCCCCTTTGCTAGAGGGCATCCAGCAGGTTTGAGACATCTCACCGAAGTCCAGATTTTCAGGAGAGCTCAGGAGTCTCACTCAAGCATCACTAAGCCTATGTACTGGCTAATCGAGAAAACAAAAGGAAAAAAAAAAGACTCTACATCTATCCTGTACCATTTCTTTCAGGACTGGCCTTGAAGTCAAAACCTCAGGAAACCCTTTTCAACTCCTAGGCTTGTATATCACTGTGCTAAGAGCTGCAGCTATTTGAGACCCCTCGCTTCCATTTTTTGCTCTCTGCATCATCACTCCCTTCTCTCTGTATTCCCACCCATGTGCGGAAGTCATTAGCCCTTTGCTTTCCACCACAGCACTTAAATAAAATGAGCGTATCTTCCAAAGCATTCAACACGCAAGAGCTTCTGTGGGGAAAAAAAAATCAAGCATTTAGCTTTTCAATTCCTTTGTGGCTGTGGCCTTCAGCACTTTTTGGTAAGACTTTTAAGGGAAATAAAAGGAAAAAAGAGATATCTATGTTTCTGACTTCCCCCTTGTCTTGCTGTCTTGCAGCCCATGGGATCGGAGCGGATGGAGATGCGCAAACGGCAGATGTCTACGACCCAGGAGACCCCAGGTGCTGCACAGGCTCCGCTCAGCGCAGGAAATCGAGGGTCCAATGCCTGCTGCTTTTGTTGGTGCTGCTGCTGCAGCTGCTCATGGTAACCCCTCTCATTCAAGCCTCTGGGGAACAGAACAGCAGGGGAGGGAGGCAACAGCCAGTGTATAGACAACACAAGCCAAACAAACCAGCTGGGTAATTCTGCAAGTCTGGAACTAAGAGAGATGACCGTGCTCTAGCACTACGCACAACCTTCCACTCTAGTTTACTCTTTTTTTTTCTCTACCATTTAAATAAGATTTTATTTTTTTAATAATCTCTACAGTATCTCTGTTGTACTTTTGTTGTGTAACAGAAGGTCCCTTTCATGCAGGACTGGTTCTTCTCAGCCTTGAGTTTCACAAAGGTTTCCACTAAAAACTGAAATCAATACCAGAATACATCACAGCTTTAGATTCAGGACAGGGACTTAACAAGCAGCACAGACTGTTAAGTGGAGTTAGGAGAATGTGGCAGAATTTGTAGGTCAGAAAGCAAATAACCAGGTGCCCAACACTGTTCTTTTGTTTCAAAGGCAACTGGATCTGTTGTCATTAATTACTGTTGCCAATTCATGGCACCTGCAACTCACGTGAACTTAATTCTTAGGATCAGAGACTTCAAACATTGTGGGTATTTGCTGAAGATGAGGAGTTAAGCAAAACCGAATTCAGAACTCCCATTACAAGTGTTAAGGAGGAATATCTATCAAGGAATCAAAGCAAGAAGAAAAGGAATCACTCAGCTCCTTAAATTAATGATGTGTTGTTCACATTCTCTCTCTTACCAGCTCCTCCAGATCCAAATGATTTCATTCAAAACAAAAGCTTCCACTACTTGAAGTCCTGTATCTGGTTCAAGGCCAAGTGTTAATTAATGGGCACAACCAGAACTTGCATTGAAATAAAAAAATAAAAAAAAGAAGTCTTAAACAACAGTAGGAATTCAACCAAAACACTGGGAGCAAGTTGAGTGCTTCTTACAATGCACTATCCACTACATACACACTTCAAAACAAGCAAACCTGGCACTGAGGTGAAGGGAAGAAGTCAGAAATAACCTTACAGCCCAGGCTGGGTACCTATTCCACCATTTTTTTCCAACAGGAGCTGTACAAATGCTTTGGAGTACTCCATTAAAGGCAAGGGAAGAGCAGGCAGATCACTCATTTTCTATTAGTCCTCAGCTCATCAGAAGCCAAGATACCTGCTTCTGCCCTCTCTAATGCAAGTAGTTAGCATTTTGTAAGGACTAAAGGCTGCTTGGACTTCTTTTGCAAGATGCCAAGTACTCTAGCTGTGATCCCACCAAGTTTTTCAGCAGGTACTTAGAGGTTAACTAAGGTAGAGTGTCTATACAGGATCAGTCTGCTACCTCACAGGATGGCATCTACATTAAAGCATCTCAATACAAATTCCAGTGTAATCTCATCTGCATAACTGTCCAGTGCAATCTTATTGAATCATATAGACTGGTTATAGAATGGTTAATGGCTCCATAGAATGGAATCTCAAGCGGCTCAGTCTAGAGCTGCATTACACAAACACACATCGTTCCATAAAAGGGAAGAATAAGGCACATTTATGTACTAAGTCAGAGTACATAAAATTTGCATATCATCTTTTAAATTGTTGATAAAGTGCTTTTTTGCCATTTTACCTGGTATTTTCCAGGGTGCTTATTTCCTGTGCACCTTGCTATTCAAACAATTCAAAGAAAGCAATTTACTCAATAGGGTGTGTGAAAGTACCTGAATTTCATGATGCCTAACATTCCTATTTGCATTTCAGAATCACCTGGGAAACCAGAACAGGCTCCAAAACAGAGCAGCTTGTTTTAGCTTTAAAATAATTTGATTTTTTTGAGAACGATTGTTTTCTAGTAGCAAGAAATGCAAAACAAACCGTAATTAAGCTATTTATATTCCCTATTCATAGAGCCTTTCCTCAAAATAGCTCAAGCACTTTGAACAGAAAAATTATGAATAGGAATAAAAATAACAGTCTACATGACTCATGCAGCTAAGTTGCTGAACATCCAATATTCAGCATACTCTTAATAGTAGATTTAGAGTGAAGAACTGGTGAAATGAGGCTCTCAGCTGGATGCTCAGAGCTTGTGTTCATTCCTACAGGCACAACTCAAGCTTCCAGCCTGTTACTCTTCCAGATCCTGAGAAGATGCAGTATTGCACAAGTCTCTTTTTCTTTACCTGCACATTTCTAAAAAGGGAAAGAGCCTGCCTGAGAGTAATTTTCTGAGGAATGACATATTATTTTAAAGAAGCTGTTATTTCTTTTGTCTTTTTTCCCCCCTTTTATGCATTATCCTATGAAAACTGTGATCTTTTCTGTTGGTTCCCCTCAATCCAAAAATAACTGACAAGCATATCACTACTTATCTGGGTGCGAGGAGTACATAATATACCACTTTTCATATTAAAAGAAGGCCAGAATCCTATATATTCCAAAAGAATAGAGATCTAACACTACTACTTAGTTTTTAAATCTTATGTTATTCTGAAACGGTGAACTGAAATCACAGAACCATAGAATGGTTTGGGTTGGGAAGGGACCTTAAAGATCATCCAGTACCAAACCCCCTTGCCATGAACAGGGTCACCTTCCACTAGACCAGGTTGCTCCAAGCCCCATCTAACCTGGCCTTGAACACTGCCAGGGATGGGGCAGCCACAATGTCTCAAATGAGAAAGACTCATCAACTACAAAAGGAATTCTTAAAAGCTGAAGTTAAACTAACATCTGATGAAAGCAGCAGGAGTTGAGAGCTACCCGTCCATGGGAAATGAAAAACTCCCTCTCGATGATCACTAGCGATTACAGCAAACCCTTATTATTTTTGCAATGCTATAAACAAGCCAATACTTATGTCCAGTCAGACAAACTCAAAACGGTATTCAACAATTATTTATCTGCTCTTCATGCCTCAGGCCTCACATTTTGAAACATATACTAGCACTTTCTTAAAGTTGCAGTCAATTACCACACAGTCTGGCTAGATCGACACTGAAATCCAAGTGATGCTTACACTTCCAACGTCACACACAGCGGTGTCTAGCTTGCTTAAAACTTGTGCTCCAGCTTCTGAACTCTGGCTTTTTTGTATCATAGTATTACCACTCTAAACCAGAGCCTTGGCCTGCATCATGCCTTATAGATATACAAAATAGCCAAGAATAAGACAGAACAAACAACGCCAAAACCAAATCAACCAACCTGGTCAAGTGCAAGGTGTCCCTGTCTGTGGCAGGAAGGTTGGAACTGGATGAGCTTTAAGGCCCCTTCCAACCCAAACCATTCTATGGTTATATGAACCTTGAAATCTAGCTCATATAAAACCAGCGCATCAGGTCTAACTTAAGTAAAAAAATTGCATTGGGCATACACAGTATAATAAGCATCAATGGAGAACGGATCTGCTATGTGATAAAGGGTACATGTGTGTACATTTATCTATACATGTGTGTATATATACACTTGTGTGTATATAGAGGGACTTGGACTTAATTATCTTTATGGGTCCCTTCTTACTTGAGATATTCTATGAATCTATGACCTCTGTATAGAAAATGTATGTGATACAATATTGAACATCATTCACCTACATTAAAGTTTGCCACGTTTATATAACTGTAAAATTAATGTCAGAGTCTAACTATGGGTAATGTGGCTACTGTTAGCTTTTGCTACCTGATTTCTTCTAGGTATCAGAGGAAAATCACCTGATATACCTTCAGCCTTTTCCTCTATAAAGTTGACTAAATTTTTGTTTGCTGCCTTGCAGTCTTACTGTTAGAAATCAAGATGAAGAGAGAGCAAGGAGAACATCTCATGAACTACAAGCAGAGGGCATTCCAAACTGTGAGGAAAGGTATGCTCTTTACTAAGTGTTCTGTCAACCTAAAATGAAACAACGTGACAAAACATACTAAACAATTAAAGTGAATTACCAGTCATTTATGCTGAATTTGCAGTCACCAAAGGTCCAATACGTAATCTTTTACCTCACTTACATGGAGGATATAGCCGCATCCCCACTTTTATAACACGGCAGATCAAAACCAGCATTGTGAACACAGTCTCCCTTTTTTTCTGAAATAACTTTAAAATACATCCTGTTCCCAGCCAGCAGCTATGTAATGAAGGTAACTGGCAGTGCTCAGCCTTACAAAAATAATAAAGAGGAACTCAAATCCTCCCAAGTCAGGGAAGTGTCTCTTCAGAATTGCTCAAACAGGTAGGAGCACCTGTAACAGACGGGAGGGTACCTTTTATGGGATTTTGAATCATTGCTTCTACATATTTTCATTCCATTTCTAACAATGATCCAGCAAGGACTATTGGTTATAGAAAAAATGCTTAGCTGTTTCAGAGGGACTTCTTCGTTGCAATTACTTTGAGCAGTAAACTGCAATTTCAGCATCAAAGCACTAGCAATCATCTGCATCTGAGTTTTTGATAAGCACACTTTGAAAAAGCATCTTATAAATATGTTTACTAGAGTTTGCACTTGGTAGTTCCAGTGAGGAATGGAGCCCCATGAACCTTGTGATTTTGCTCCATCGTGATGGTAGCTGCAAACTGCTTGAGTAACAGTCATTCATTTCTCTCTTCTTGTCCTCTCATTCCTCCTCTTGTCCTCTTGTTCCTCCTCAAGCCCTGCTCCTACTCTTGAAGAAGTAAATGCCTGGGCTCAATCATTTGACAAGTTGATGCTTACTCCAGCTGGCAGAAATGCTTTTCGTGAATTTCTACGAACAGAATTCAGCGAGGAGAACATGCTTTTCTGGATGGCCTGTGAGGAACTGAAACAAGAATCCAACAAAAGTGTCATTGAAGAAAAAGCAAGATTAATTTATGAAGATTATATTTCTATCCTTTCTCCAAAAGAGGTATATTAACTTTCCCCAAAATACTCTTTCATGCTGCTTTGCATAGTTAGTTCTAACATGTGTTTAAAGCTTTAATACTCAGGGAGAACTTGCCCCTCCATTCCGCTGTCATCACATAGGGATTTAGGGGAGAAAGGCAGACCCATTGTTGAGGTGAGATGGTCAAAACTACTTTCACTGTCTGTAAAAGCTCTTCCTATGCTACCCTGCCAAGCTGGTGTGAAATCTTTAGTTTGAGGCACAAATATACAGTTGATCACCTTAACCCTGATCAAATTTTGTCAGACAAATCAGTTTCTTTATTCTTTGCACTAGAAAGTGATCGTGTGCATCTCCCCAAACGCACAGCAACCACAAAGTGTTATTTGCAAAGCACAAATTGCTCAAAGAGCAGCTGACAAAATATGGCAGAGAACAAACATGCTGACTTCCTGAAAATTTGCAAAACTACCCGTCACATTGCTGTTAGCAAACATGTCAAGTTCTGAAGACACCTCAGTTCAGTTTGAATATAATCCTGCCAAGTAGGCTGGAAATTTAAACCTTCCAGTATCTTTGCAAAACTCAAACTTAATTGTTTGTGGTGCAAGCTATACTTACGGATTTATACAAATGCTGTTTAAATCTTGTCAGCCTATTCCAGTAATACTGATGTCTTTCTACTGACATTACATTCTTACAGGAAAAAAAAAAAGAGAACATTATTTGTATGTTGCATGGAATCATTATACAGCCATATCTCTGGTTCACAGCAATTCACCCTGCTTTCTAACAGGAATTTGATTAAGCAACAGCTTAAAACAGGGTTACAGTTTCCGTCTGCGTCATACTGCTTACTCCAAATTCAGTCTCTTTACAATAGCACTAACTCCCAAGGAAACGAACTGTCACAAAAAATTACAAATTCTCTCTATTACAGAGCAGGAAGTTGGTCTGGAAATAGTCCACCAGTCTCCCAGGTTTCAGTAATAATGGGATCACAGCCAGCCTTGTCCAGAGTAAAGTTGCCTCAGGGAAAAAACTTCTGTATCCATACTAAAGATACTACTACTTCCAAATTTCAACACAGCCATTTTTTGCCCAAATATATTTATCAGTTTTTACACTCTTGAAGGACACCAGCTGAAATCACAGAATGGTTTGGGTTGGAAGGGACCTTAAAGCTCATCTAGTTCCAACCCCCTGCCATGGGCAGGGACACCTTCCACTAGACCAGGCTGCTCAAAGCCCCGTCCAACCTGGCCTTGAATATTGCCAGGGATGGGGCAGCCACAGCTTCTCTGGGCACCCTGTTCCAGTGCCTCACCACACTCATAGGGAAGGACTTCTTCCTAATACCTGATCTAAATCTGCCCTCTTTCAGTTTATATAAACAAGAGTGCCTTTTCAAACAGTAAAACAAACCTAAACCCCCAAATGTACTATTCACCACTATTATTTACGTGACTCTCTGTTTTAATATGCAGGTCAGCCTGGACTCCAGAGTAAGAGAAGTTATTAATCGAAATATGCTGGAACCCTCACAACATACCTTTGATGACGCACAGCTTCAAATTTATACCTTAATGCACAGAGACTCCTACCCACGGTTTATGAACTCTGCTATTTATAAGGACTTGCTTCAGTCCTTATCTGAAAAATCCATTGAAGCATAGAATTTTTTCTTAAATGTATTTATTTTAAAACAAACAGAACTCTGGGCTACATCAATCCACAGGGAATTTAGAATTAATCAGATATTTACCTGAAAATAACTCAGGCAAGTTTCACTACGGACTGAATGATTTAAACTCGCACAAGGCTCTGACACAATCAGCTAACTACAGTTTCTGATCAAATTCAGTGTGTCTTTGCAGAAGAGAATGAAGAGAACAATAAGAAAATGTTGTTCAAAAAATGCAGTATTTCTGTTTCTTCAAACACAGCATGCAATTCAGATGCAAAACTGTTAGCAGCGTATGTGTGAGGCACAAATACCAACTGAGCACGAAGACTACATTTTATTTGTAAGTGGATTGTTAGAATTTTCTGGAAAACCAAACCAGTTGCCCCATCCACACTGTGACCAAAGTGAAAACAGTACTGTCAATATCTGGGTTACATGAGACAAAGTTTCGCACATACCTGGCTTAGGTACAATCCACTTGTCTTGGTATATTTAATGCATATATGGTGCACTAATGGAAAATGGTATGGCAATCTCAAGTTTATGGAAGCTAATGGCTGAAATAATGCTGCCTATAAAAATCTTTTGCTGAAGAATTGTTACTTTACTACTAGAGTCTGCTGAATGCATTTTTAAGTTCATACTGTTGATGTTTATAATGTTAAATTATTTACTTAAAACGAAGAAGAGTCTGGGCATTTAAATTCCAAAATAAAGCACAAGAATTGTCACATATTCTTCTCTTCCCTTGGTAGGTAGATGTATAAACCCTTCACTATTTGCTCCTGAGAGGATGGCATTATCAGCTGTCTTGATTTTGTACATATTAAATTGTCCCGTTATCTCACAGATGTTGTAAGGTTTCTATTCCAGATACACACATATTTAACTGAGAAAAGAAGGAAGCTGGAACTATACTGTTCTGATACAGCACTATTTCATACTGTCTGAAAGAAAAGCAACAGCTTTATCCACTAATAAACCACATTCATTTACAGTATCCCCAAAGCATTACCTTTGATTTCTGACTGTATCTCAAAAATCAGTAATCACAGGAAGTACTAGGAAGAAAGTAAGTTGAATCTGCATAATCTATGTGTAGATTATGTGTGTTATTCTATGTATAACTATGTATGTTATTCTTACAACTTCTTTATTTTAAATTACAAGATTCACTACAATTCCACTAAATTAAAGTTTGGAGTTCATAGTGGACTTCCACTGAATTGTGTTTTTTCCTGTACATTTATTTAAATTAACCAAATGACACATACAGGTAGGAAAAGGGCATATGGGAAACAAAGAAAAAAAAATACCCCTAGAAGGGAAGAACCAGACAGGCACAGTTCAGTGGCATTTACTGTAGCATTTTTAAAGCCTACTCTTTGCCTAATTCCAGCACTATGAAAAAGCACAAAATGGGGACTTCCTTTGATAAAAAGCAATAGGAATAACAAGGCAAAATTTAGGATATTAGTTTAATTGTTTCCTCAATGCATTCATCAGGAGACGTGTTCTCCCCTTACAGCATTTTCACTATTAAACAAATAATTACAAGATTTTTCATTACACAGATCCACAGGAGAATACCCAATCCATGGTAAATTAACAATACCTATGGACCAGTTTCCATCATCCCCTTCCAAAATGAAAACACTATTCAACATGTCAGCACAAAAAAGTAAACCAAAAAACTTAAAACAGCAAATCAAAGTGCTCTTACCTTCTGTAGCACAACACTGGATGGTTGAGTAAAGAGGAAGCCCTCCAATACACTTCTACTTAAGACATAGTCTAGTTAGCAGTCACCATCACTTAACATACTACTGCTGGTTATCTCAGCTGCATTTCTAGTAAACATACCCAAAGCACTACCAATACAATTTTAGTTTACAGGAAGTATTAAATGGTAGGTAGTAACTTCTACAAAACAAACTACACACATCAGTAAGGCAGCGTTCATGGGAGCCTGCAGTCAAACTTATGAAGCCGTACTTACCACAGAATCATAGACTGGCTTGGGTTGGAAGGGTCATCTAGTCATCAGGAAGATCACCTAGTGCCGACCTCCATGTCATGGGGCAGGGACACCTTCCACTAGACCAGGTTGCTCAAAGCCCTGTCCAACCTGGCCTTGAATGCTGCCAGGGATGGGGCAGCCACAACTTTTCAGAGTCGCCATTCTCATAGTGAAGAATTTTTTTCTAATATCTGATCTAAATTTACTCTCTTTCAGGTTAAATCCATTCCCTCTTGTCCTGTCACTACACGCTCTTGTAAGAAGCCCCTCTCCAGATTTCTTGTAGGCTACCTTCAGGCACTGGAAGCTGCTCTAAGGTCTCCCTGGAGCTTTCTCCTGAACAAGCCCAGCTCTCTCAGCCTGTCTTCACAGGGCAGGTGCTCCAGCCCTCTGATCATCTTCATGGCCTCCTCTGCACTTGGTCTAACAGGTTCACATCCCTTTTGTGTTGGGGGCCCCAGAGCTGGATGCAATATCCCAGGTGGGGTCCGATGAGAGTCCAAGAGGGGCAGAATCACCTCCCTTGACCTGCTAGCCATGCTCCTTTTGATGCAGCCCAGCATATGGTTAGCATACGTGTTCTAATCAGTGGGTAAAAGTGCTCTAAAACTCATAAGTTAACAAAGTGAGTTTAACTAGGTCAAACTCAGCTTGCTGGAAAGATCAGACACACATATCAAAAAAAGTTCAAAGTGTTGTCACTTCACGAAATGGAGGATTTCATTTCTTTTAAGTTATCTCTCTTCCCTGCAAAGATACCTCATTAAGAGCTGGGAGACTGGTTAACACTCATACTTTGTATCACATAATGCAATCTATTATTCTGCAAGAAAGAAAAAGATGAAATGAAATTAGAGGGGAGAGAGACTTATACTGTTTTGGGCAGTTCTGTGGTTACCATCTGATTATTAAAAGAAGAAAATAATTTCTAAGTTTGTTTTCCATGTGCCACAACTTCTAAGCAATTAAAATTCTCTAGGCAATTTTCCTTTTATTTCTGCAATGTGCATCTTTCCTGAAAAATTTAACAAATTTTAATGCTATGGTTTAGGTTAAAGCTTATGCCCAACACCAATGGCAGAATGCTGGTCCCTAGGTACCCAAAGAGAATCTCTTGAAAAACCCAAACAGACAACACACTCCCCTAAATATGTTGTTATTTTGAGACTGTTTAATGCTGGATCTAATTGAAGCAGGAAAGAAAAGGGGGAGGGGGGGAATAGGGGAACAAAAAAAAAAGGAGGAAAACAAAACTCCACCCACACAGAATGTAGGGTTTTAACTACAGTTCATTACTATATCCTTGCTCATTATGCACCAACTTTTCTCAGGGCAAAAGTGAGTCACTCTGGAAAAGAAAAGATACTATAGAGAAGGTGTTACATGAACAGCAGGAGAAAATCATACTGACACAAGATATTATTTATAATTCATCAAGTAAGAAATTATCACAAAATCAATTTATCCTGGCTTGAAAATAAGCACGGTTGGTTTGTCTTGGCATTTACCTAACTGCAGGATATCATTAAGCTCTAATAACTTTCCAGTCCACTGGTATTCTTTCTTCAACGTCTGCACTTCACAAACCAGTAACTCCCACAGAACATGCACACTGTTAAAGACTGCTCTTTTCACCAGCCTGCTAAGCAGTATTAAAATTGCATGGGCTCCTTCAGCCAACATATTGTGCTTTATATAATGACCTTTAAATTCCAAAGTCATTAGCACAATACAAATGAAGACAAAAAAAACCCATGTATATATCTTGAAGGGCTCTACTATATAAGGACAGATTAAAATTTATCACACGAACATCATGTACTTACGCACTTTCTGATTACAAAGGATATCTGAAAACAAAGTGATGAGACTAGCACCATGTGAAGTAATTTTCAAACAAGTGTGCACTGAATAGTACTTAAGAACACATCTTTTGTCATGAAAGGCATCAGTATTGTTTCAATGACATTTATGAAAGATTTTCTGTACTCATGTTGTAACTGAATTAATCCCAAACCTTTTAAAATGGTGAAACAATTCAAGATTAGTGATGATCTACTGAAACAGAAGCTAATATGCAGCTGTATGAAACTGTACTTAAAAAGGTTAAACTCTTCAGGTTTCTTTATATGAATGACTACTAAAGATCTATTACAAAAAGCTGGAAAGGTAATATAGCCACCTTTTGCAGAATGCAGACTTCATGTCAATGAATTTGAGTTCTATCTAAGCTGGTATGGGTTGTAAGTTTCAATTTAAAATTCACACGTGACCACAACTGGAATCCTGAACTCCAGATAAAAACAAGACACTTCCTTTGCCATGCTTGGAAAATTCAATAGGGCTTCAAAGTGGGATTCACAAAAGCCAAGCTCATTGAGCAGATATTTACCTTCTGCTTAGTGCCAGTCAAAAAGATTAACTCAGTAAAAGGTATTTTAAACCCAACATTTTCTCCTGAGCAAGTTAACAGGATTATGTATGAGGAAATGCCTTCTAACAAAGGATCTGGAATCTGTTTTCTGAGCAGCAGAAACCTCTAGCCTTCCTTACAGAAGAAAGATGGCATCCTTTAAGATCTATACCCACACTTTAAAAGGCACATGGCCCCCTTTTTTTCTCTACCAGATTAGTGTCAAAACTAGCTTAAATTGTAGGGTAATTGTAAGGTTAAATTGTGTTCCAGTCTCTCTCTCATTTGAGAGGATCAAAATGTTCATAAAGGTAATAAACAAACTTGCTATTCTTGGACAGGAGAGATACATCACTAGTTCTGCTGGCATGTTTCACTGCATAAAACATCTGAATGTACTGCGTCAGCAGTGGCACAACTGCAGCTCAGTGGATAAGGCAGCCAGCTTGGAGAAATGAGGTACTGTCCCAGACCCACTTCTCCATCCTTCTATACATCCTTCAGACTTCACATTCTCTCAGACAGAGGAGAGCAATTTCAAACAACTGAGAAAACTGAAGCACCTGCTGAA